AAAGGAGGTATGGAAATTGGAATGGAAAACATATGAAATCAAAGGGACAACGTTTTTACCCAATTTTTATGCACTTTTTCGTAATCAAACTAACATCCAAAGTAAGAAAATGTATGTTGTTTAGTTTGACTGATTAACATATACTACTAGTTTTAGGGGGATATCCCTTTTTTAATGCAATTTTTTGAAATATGCATTAGTATTGCGTAAAAACCAAGCTCTGATCCACCAAATTGCTCCATACATGCACTCTACTTTTATAAAAAAAGCTTATCCACCGTGAATACGATATACCTTAAGATACTAAGGAGAAAAAACGGTGAGCAAATGAGTGAATTGAATATTATTTTAGAGAAGAATTGAAAATCGTTGTCGGGATTTCATTAGGCAGACAAAACCTAGCTGCTTTGATTCCAATCTTCATCTTAATTAGAACAAGTATGAAAAATATATATTATATATTCGGCCCATGACAAACGTCCACAGTAAACAGTAAACTGGGGACATGTCTGTTTCTCAAAGTAAAAATTTGTGGTTTTTATATCCTTCACCAAAAATTTGAATCGATTTAAGCATGTCCGTCCGGACAATGTAAAGATTCTACTGGCCGCAAAGATGAAGGTATCGACTTCAAATTCTTTGTCTCTTCTTGCATGCAGGTTTACATTGAAAACGAGCTAGATCGAGGGAAGCACACGTCCACAGTGCCACGTAAACTGAGAACAGATACCTTAGGTCGCGCGGAAACAAGTTTTAATCAAACCCAATTAAGTTTGTAAATTCTTGCTCAAGTTCAAATTTAGAATGCATCTAAGCATGTCTCTCTGTTCTTCTGCCCATCGCGTCCGGAAACATTCCCCCGTTAGCGCAAATGGAGATACTGCCTACAAATTTATAAAAGAATTTAGAATTGACCTAAGACCTTTTCAAAGAACACGCCCACAATACCCACATGCCTGTACAAAAAAAACAAAATTTTTGTTTTGAAAATAGAGGAAATCGGCCAATACATATTATAGAGCATGAAATTGTTCTTCTTGTACTTCTCTTGCCCGCTTTTGGGATAAACAGTGATGGGTACAAAAAATTCTGTCCCGACCCAATTTAACTTCTTTATTATTATTATTATAAATTTAGCCAGAGAATAAATTCCAAGACTAAAGTCTTAAAGCACTAACATCTAAGGCTTTCGGTTTTATTAAAAGCACTATCGTACTTGAGATTTGAACCCACGACTGTTGACTTGCTAGTCGAGACTCTTGCCTACTCGGCCACTCAAGCGGATAACTTTTTTTTTGATGGTTGGTAGAAATAAAAATTTCAATCTCTTATCAAAAAGTGTAATAAATTTTACGTATGAAGATAACGCACCTTTTCAAACGTCTGGCCAAGCGAATATCAGGATCAGTATCTACAAATATTTTCATATCTAAGAGTTTGAGAATTTCTGGGCTGTGAAAGACTAAAATGCCTTCAAAAATAATAACATTGGCACCGTACATAGTTTTCTAAAAGAAGAAGAGGAAGAAAAAATACTTGTTAAAATACTTGATGAAATTAATTATTTTAACATAGAACGACATACCGTATTAGTTTCCCGTGAATGCGTAATAAAGTTGTACACGGGCACTTCAACTTTGCGACCTTCTTTCAATTTTAACAAAACCTCTAGCAAGAGATCCATATCAAAAGCGTCCGGATGATCGAAATTGTATTCATTTATAAGTGACTGTTCATGCTGCTTTTCATTAAGTACCTTTTAGTATTTAAGTTATAAATAAAGCGAAACTCTGCCTTTCCATTCTTCTATTCTTATACTCTACGGAATTAGAACTCACTTTGTAAAAACAATCCATGGATAGCAAGGTAACCCACGGAACATCTAGTGATTCGATAATTTTTTGAGCTACAGTCGTTTTACCGGAGGCACTTCCACCACAAATGCCTTTTTGTTTTGTTTTAAATTAAAACAATTATCATAAGTTTTTTTATATAAGATATGTTAGAAGTACCTATAACAAAAGGTTCCACCTGTTGACCGGCACAATTATACCAGGGTGGTCGACCGGCTGTATAAATAGTGCGATTATTTGAACGTATCACGCATTCTGAGGGATTCGCTGTAGTCGTTTGATTATTTACCGAAGTGGTACGTTGTCGTCGACGCGGTGGCCCTGTTCGCGGAGCAGGTGATTCTAATGTTTGTGGAGTTCTAGCCGGTACCGTAGTCGGTGAGGCTGGACAGCAGAAAACTTCATTATTTCCTAAATTCGTTTCCACATATAATGGTTCTGTCAAATCGCTACGATCATCACTTGCAAATAAATAGAGTAGAAAAGAAAAAACGGTTATTATTATTATTTTTTTTTTAATATGTCTTCACTGTCTTCATACCGCGTATGTAGGTATTATTGATAATTGATTCGAATGTTACAGATATACGGATGTAATACGAGCATATGTATATAGAAATATATATAAATGATTTCATTGATTTATTTTATACAAAAAGCAGCCAGCGTATATACATAAACATATTCATACATAACGAGATAGCGAAGCACTCGACTTTACAATGAAAAAAAAAAAAAAATAAATAAATAGAAGAAAATGTTAAGCAATTAAAGTGTAATCATAAAGGACTTGAAAAAAAAAAAAAAATAACATTGAGTTAGGTTATGGCAATGATTATATTTATTTATGTTCGGACATTAACTAAAAGATTTCTCTAAGTTAGTTAAGTTGATTATGTTGTTGACTTCTGGCACAAGAACAACTACACGCTTGACTATCCAGATTTTTAATAGGCTAACATTTGCAACACCCAGAAGGAGTGTTCAGAAATAAACCCAATTCATGTATATTACATTCTTGATCGGCATTAAATTCTGAATCGATTTAGGTATGCCCGTCTGTCTATCTGTTGGCAACATTCACCTGACCACAGAAACCGAGCTATCGGATGATAAATTTGACAGAACCATTGCAAGTTCTTGCAGGCAGGTTGGTATTGAAAATGGGCCAAATCGGTCGAAGAACGCGCCCACGTAAACTGAGAGCACATCTGTTGTTCAAAAGAGATAAGAAATTGCTTGGGTTTTTCCTTACGGCTCATAAGCTACAGCAGCTAAATCTAGTAAGATTTGAACATACATTCTACACGCGATGCTGCAGTACTTGTAAAGATGTGAGAAGACTCGACCACGCCTACCAAGTACCAAGTAGTATTGTATATCAAAATCAATATATTGTAACGACTGGAAGCAATCTTCAAAAACCTCATAAAGAATATCATTCAAATAAGTCCTTCTGTCCATCCGTCCAACTGTATAGTAACTATGGTAACCATTCACTTGTTCGCAACAATGAAAAAAACACCTACAAACTTGCAAAAGGATTTTAAAATGATCTAGACAAGTCGAAGAACAAGCATACAACCCCCGCACGCAGACGATACAACTAAAACTGAGAACAACTTTGCTTTCCGTGTTTTTTGCTTGATACTTAGAAAAAATCAGCCCCACCCAGCCGATATTGTTGAGTTCGAAAATTTAATTCTTTTCTTTTCTACGTATGAAACACACGGCGGTCACAAGTGAATATAATTCTCGTTCTTGTTAGAATTTATTATATCATGAAAAGATAACGGAATATCAAGTATATGGTTCGGTATCTATTGGGGTAAGAGTATACACGAAGTTTTTGTGCGAAGTGCAAGGAGATCAAAATACTTTTTCTTACGCTAGTCAATCCGGGACTACTTTGTCAATCAATTTCAGCTTGTCTGTCCTTCTGTCCGCTTGATACTCATGTATATATTCGTGTACTCAATGTGCAAGATTCAAAATTTTCAAATTTTTTTAATATATTAATAACTTGTTTTGACTCAAAGACGAGCTCCATCCATTGAACTATTTTTAAAATCTTTTCTCATATAATGGGTGGTTTGAAGAAGCTTTTCTACGAAAATAACTATAACATTTTAATTTTGTATGCAAAAATCGGTAAAAACATTTAATTAAATAAGCAAAATTTGAACCGGATGAGATTTTTCCTTAAAGCCTTTCTTAGAAACTACTAAGTCTTTATATGACACCAAATTCTATGTAGTAGTATTTTACGATAAAAGTTAATCAATAAAAGTGGTATAAATTTATCGTACCAAGCTTGCATCATATAGATCTATTTTTCGGACCTCTTCCTGTAAAAATTTGCTGGACAAAACTAAACTTTCAATTACTATAATTTTGAGCAGTAACGTAGTAAGCTTAGATTAGCAGTAACATTTTATAAAGGAAAATAAGGAAAAAGAATACGGAACAGACGATTTAGCAAAGAATCAATTATCGTATTTTGCTGCCATGTGATGAAAATCAAAAAATATAAACCTCATGAAATTGCAAAGAAGCAAGAGGACTTGCCTAATTACTTTTGTGCCAGTCGGTGTGGCGCGTTCCTATACCTTACAGGCATATAAGCAATTAAGAGCACCATAGTCGGGCAAGACCGACTTTTAGGCATCATATATAACTTCGCTTAATATAGACATTCATTAATTTTCGTGATAATACATTAAAGACTATACAGTTAGTTTTACGTGAAGCACATAATTTTCATGAAAGTCCCATATTAGAGAACGGCCAAAACGTCAACTAACCTGGTCCAAATTTAGTTGTTGCCAAAGACTTTGGTAATCCTTCATAAAAAACTACAAGTTATACTACGTCGCCCTAGAAGTATTTGTTGCTCAAGATTGGATCTAAGTAAAAGACCTATTTAAACTAAACTTTATACTCAAATTATTCTTAATGTTCAATGTTTGTCATAAAATCTTAAAAATTTCACTATTTCGGCATTAAATAGACCTACGTTGTCCAAACTCGGTAAGATTATTTTTTATATCAAATTTTTATTATGCACGAATTTTCAGTTTTAAAGAAATATTGAAAATAAGGTTTTTTTTGCTATATGAGTTTTCGTGGGAACGTTTAGCGGGCAGAGGATTCAAAAACTTGCCCCACGTAATCATAATTTTTACACCAATTTAGAACGCCTAAGTACTATTACTCCGTGATTTTTTTTTTCGAAATTCTGAAAATTGAAATATTTTTGCACAAAACAGCTTATCAAACTAAGGCGTTATATGAGGAGTGATCGTAAAAGTGGATCGATCCGAACCATTATACCAAACAGTATACCAAATTTCATTAAAATATCTCGAATATTGCGGTCTGTGGCTTGAACACAATAAAAAAAAAAACATGAATAGACATCAGATAGACCGACACTTAGACCGATGCAGAAAGTTATCCTGAATCGGTCGGTATATTAAAGATAGGGTCTATCTCAAGTCCTTCTGGATATTGCATACGCGCACACACACTTAATATACCTCGTATCACAAGTGCTATAAGGTATTTAAAGATAACACAAATATTTCCAGTCGTGCACTTAAATGTTAGTAGATTCAGTGTTTTCAAGGCAAAGTTAAACATTCAGTTAAATCAATTTGATATTCATCAAACAGCTGCGTGGAGACATTTGCGATAGCTGAGCATACAGTGCAGCTTTAGGCAAAAAGGCTTACAAGGTTGTGGCCGAAATTCAGGAAATAAGCGGAAATGATTAGTTTTGTCATGACCTAAGGGGACTAATTAGAAAAATACTTCTTCTAGATAAGGGTACACAGCCGTAATTATGAATCTTAAAAGACGAACAGATAACTGGGCTCGAATGAGTGATGTTAATCGAGATTTTATATCCCTTATGACACCTCCAATGCTTGTTTCTTTACTTCACAAATATAAGGCAAACGTGATAATGATGTATGTATATAAAGTATAGAAAGAAGACATATATTGATTTTATTTGATCATAAATTTTCCCTATTGATTATAAACTTTTACAGATGATTCATAGAAATTTCAATAGAATTGAATAAATTTCATCACAAAACGACTAAAACTTGGCGAGTTATCAACAAAAAAAAAAAAAAAAAAAAACAGAATAATATAGGTACAAAAACCTATAGGAATAATTATAGTTTACACTGTAATATGGATTCACCTTAAAGAATAAATTGTTGTAAATGTATTGCAACTATATATTAATACCCTACATCACCTTATGATACAAGGGTAGATTCACCCAGAAATACTTGAGCTACGCTCATCTTTCACAATACCGATCCATTCAGGATCGTCTTCAGCATCTATCTAAGTTCATCCGTCCGTCTGTCCGCCTTCTATTCGTGTCTTAAACCTACAAGTAGCAATTTTTTCGATATTTTGATAAAATTGGATACACCGACATGTTTTGGTCCAAAAAAGAACAATAATTCAGATAGGACCACTTCTTCGGCTAAATCCGTTTTATAGCGGTTTTACTTATTTTATTATGGCATTGTTCATAGTATAAGCATATTTATACCCTACGCCGCTTATGCTACACTGTATGTAAAAATTGTGCAGATGTGTGTGTAACACTCCGAATGGTTTAAAACCTACTCACCTTTTATTATAGCGATCAATTCAGATTAATTTTATGAATCGATTTAAGCTTTTTCTGTCTGCTTGACGCTTGCTCCCTTATACTTCTGTTTAACCTATAGGTAGCAATTCTTGAGATACTTTGATGAAATTTGGTACATTGTCGGGTTAGTTTTTATATAAAAAAAAAAAAAACGGATTGCTTCATATTTGTTAACAAAAGTCGGTACGAAACGGAATATTGGTATTTAAAATATGTATGAAAATGCTGGATCGGATGGCCTTGTTTTTCAATCTCTTCACATATAACCATGATTCTAGGCAAAGCAGACTCCTCTATGGCAAAAAAAAAGGTGAAGAATAACATAACCTTTGACAAGAAAATTAATCGTATTAACCCTAGACAACGACACCTCACGTTTTGAGTCCTTGCCTATATAAGAACTTTATAATAGAAAGACATTATTGCCACTGTGAATTTATGGAATTCTATGCGTGTAGCCAATTGTTGACATACATAGACTTGCTCTTGTTTTTTTTTTTTTTTAAGTTGTGTGACTGAGGGATGTCACTTATTCGTGTCAGACAGAAGGAAGTAAGGAAAGAGAAAAGGATAGGGAAGCAGTGGTTATGTGCACAATCGATAAGATCAACTGAGAAGTCGCTGTAGCTATAACCAAAGCAAACTTTACCGCACTGAGATTTAAGCCCGCGGAAGTGACTTGTTGCGATTCTTACCTACTCGGCTACTCAAGCTCTTGAAGTTAAAGCAGTTCTTAGCACTTGCAATCAATGCGTGATTGTTTCAATCTCGGTTACATATATC